AGATTTAGTAGAGTCTCGCGGATCAGTACGGAGACGTCTGTACTTATCTTTGAGAGGTTGCAGAACCTTTAGGAAATCCCATATTCTTGAATTCTTATCATGCGATATTGATTCAGCTTGAAATGTAGCTCTTGAAATTCCTTCCACATGTTCATATGCGCGCATGAACGCTCGATATCAGCTATGCATCCAAAACTTGTGATTCCATGATTAAGAGACGAGATGTGTTTTCTGTGTGTTGATGTTGGGTCAGTATGGAGGACTTGGAGCTGGGCTTTGCTTGTAGCTTGAGCACTGAGGTGTTGATTGTGTGAGCACGTGCTTTTGGATTTATATGTTCGGTAGTGTCCCTATTAGTGGAAGTGATGGCTACGTGATGAGTATGATGTGACTGTGAGATGTGTTCATATGATTTGGATGTGACGAGGACAGTTTACTTAAGGGTAGAATGAACTATTTGGTGCTTGATTTCCATCTTGATTTGACGTATAGCCCCGAGTTATGGGTGTGTTGAAGGATTTTTTCATGTTGTTTAGTTGGGGAATAAAGTAGATTTCATGTCGTGATATGAGTTCAGACTCAGGAAAATTAAGTGATTGCGTGATGTTTATGACGGTGGAAGGGTATAAAGAGATGGTAGTTTGAGACGAAGTAGGTAGGTTATCTCCTGCGGGGTGTCCTGAGGGCGTGTGATCCCTATGCTGTTTTGTAGCGAGTCCTCCTTTACCAGTGAATTATATGTGCTACAGATTGAGTTTGGATCGCGAATGAGAGTTGTCTTGACTGTTACGAGTGTGAATGCGAGATTTGCAGATGATTTGAAGTACTAGATGGTTTGTGTTGCACGAGCTTATGAAGGATTTAGTTCAATCTCACTATGGTATTATGACAGTAATAGAGTATGGGTATTGTGAGTTTTTGTGTGCTTTGATCTATGGTTTTAAGCCAAGTGGGGGAGTTTGCTATTGATAAGCTGATTGCACGACTAAGTGTCGTATTACTTTTAGTTTGAGGTATACTGGTGAATCAGTTATGACTTGCAGAGGTTGAGATCAAGGATGACTCGAGTAAAGGGAATTTCTAGATACGAGTTGTATTAGGTTTTATGAGTATATGAGAATCATGGAATGATTTGAGTTGTTATTGGTGAAGGATGTAATGTGCGTAGAGCAAAAATTTATCTGGTTGCATTAAGGTGGGGTTACATCCTTGGGTGTTGGAGTGGTAATGGGGCTCAGGTCGATCGGCCCATTTGGTCTGTCGAATTGAGATTTGAGTAGAGTGGATAACTCTCAAGAACAGATCTAATGAATTCAAGATTTATATGTGGAAATTAAGAATTTTTGCGTGTTCGTATGTGGCTAGAAGCTGAGAGTTACATTGGATGGTGTTGAGGTTCGCAGTATTTCTACATCGTTGTGGATTCTACATTTCAGTATCAGGAAAGTAAGATGAACAACTTGAAATTCATAGAAGGTCTCTTCGGAGTGGGTATCTCGATTGTGGTACTTTTGTGGTGCTTAAGAGAGCATTCAACTGTTTATGAGCCTTAGGGCAGTGTGGTTTATATTAGGGTATCGTGTTGTGGGTCTGGGTTGAGAATTGAGGAACTATGGCAAGGAGAAGTATCAATGTGAATGCAATTTAGAAGGAACTCGGACAAATAAGACAGCTTGGTAGTAGGTTGGAAGCATGGTAATGGGTATGATTAGTTCTTTGGGTGTTTATGAGGTAATGAGTTTCTACAGGTGTTTCGTGGTAATGCTCTTGAGTTTTGGTGACCTGCGTAGCTTGGTTGGGTTAGAAGGATTCAATCTTGATGGTTGGGTTTTGAGCTAATGGGATTCGGAGAGTTCTTGATGGTTTCTACCATGGTTAGAGAGGTATATCTTCTACTGGCGTGAGGAGCATGTGATGTATAGTGATCTTCTCCTAGATGGGGTCAAATGGAAAGTTCTTGGCTAGTTGAGTACTTATTGCTTGTGACTCGGAGTGGATTATGCAGTTCTCATATTTATCATGGGATGGCATGGTATATGCGGTATGTTGTGTAGGGTTGGGATTTGCATGTGTAAGGTCACAGTTCAGTTCTAAAAGGAAGGTCATAAATTTTTAGGCAGCATGGACAGTTTTTGACAACTAGGTAAATGATATTACTAAATGGTATGGCTTGATGAGAGCATACATTTTAGAAAAGGAAATGTGTACGGGTTATGGATACTTAATTGGTATTGCGACACTCTCTTATTTAATCGACTGCTGGAGTTCAATTTTACTTTGTGGAACAGAAGAATTTTAGAAGTATTCCTCGTAGGGTGACTGTATAATTGGAGAAGTGTGGGCATTCAGGTGGTGGAGTTGATATCAGAGATGGTGATTCATATGTTCTATGGATTTAGAGACTGGGAGTTCTCGTGAGTAGATTGTTTCATAGTTGTGGAACGTAAAAAGTAGCCCAAGGTTAGTCAAAGGTTAGTATATGTTGTGATTCAGTCATTGTAGACTTTCGGAGGGTTATTTATCTATCGTGGGGGAGTAGAGCTGATTTGGGGTTCATTGGTAGTCCCAACATGGAGGTGTATTCTATACTTGGTCGGATTTGTTGACTCAGAACTGCTATTGTTGAGGGATATGCCATTCTATTGTTGTTGAGCTTATTTGTGTTCCGGAGTGATCTATGAGCTACTCTTCTATGCTCGAGGGGTTATGATTTGTTTGTTCTGTGCACATATGGTGCTGTTCTATTGGGGTGTTATAGCGGAATTTGAGTGGGATGAGTATTGGATATTGCTTGGTGGATGGCGTATTGGTTATGCTCTTTCGGGTTTTGCGTGGTGTTATGTCATTTGCTTCTCCATGGTTATGGTAATGCACTTTGAGTACTTGATATCGTTGCACATGGTTATTGATTTTGAGCAAGGTGGCTTGAGGTATAAGCCATGGATTAGTGTTTGAATGGGGCACATATTGCTACAAAATTACGTTAAGGTATGAACCTTTGTGTTAGATTCGTGTGATGGTCCTATGGGGTGTGATGGATTTTTAATATTTTGTTGTGGCAGTACTTGTTAAGCTTGCGGGACAGTCCTCTAGTTTGAGTCATTTTTTTCATGATTTTAGTACATTTGGGATGTGCTATTGGGTGCACGAGTTGCACAAGTTATGGCTTTGGATTGTATTGATGTGTCATATCATCAGAGTGGTCGTGTTTTATGAGATAAAGTCAGTGGACCTAGAATGAGTACTATGAGAATTGGTTACAGCATGGTTGGAAGGATAATATCCGAAGTCGACTTAGAAATCTGCTATAGTTCATGTCGGAGAAGAGGGAGCTCCATGACTTGTTGATCTGACGAATGGTTATGAGTTTCTACGTGTTTCTTTTATCATTGGCAGTATATGAAAGTGTTGGAACGAGGCTTTGTTTGTTAAGAGGTGTATTACCGGTATTGGGTTGTTTTGAGCAGCTACTATGATTAGGAGGTATCGCCATGAGTGTTTGAGTTATGTGATATATCATATGATTACATCTTGGGTTACATATATGATTTGATACAGCTTGTTCGGACTTATACAGTATGTAGATGCGAAGTTCTAATCTTATTGAAAATTTCGGATGTTGGAAATTGGGCCCTAAGACTTATGGACTAGCTTGGATTAAGAAATTTCAGTCATATTGCGTTATCAGACTTATATGGATAGGGTGACGTGGGATCACACCCGGGTATGTGCATAGTGAGATTACACAGTGAGTTGATGGCTTTTAAAACAACTCTAGACACGTTCGAATACGAAAGTATGTTTAAGTGGGGGAGGATGTAACGACCTAGCCGGTCATTTTGAGCAATTGCACTTCGCTCGGTTGTTTGAGGGCATGAGTAGCTCCGTAGGAAGTATTATGACTTATGTGAATCATCAGTTTTGGTTTTCAGGTTATTCGGAATTGATTTGGAAGAATGATTCTCAGCTAGAAGCTTTAAATTTGAAAGGTTTGACCAAGTTTTGAATTTTTAGAATTTGACCTCGGATTGGATTTCTATTGGTTCCGCTAGCTCCATTGGGTAATTTTGGACTTAGGAGCGCACCCGGAATGTAATTTGTAGGTCCGTAGTAGAATTTGGTTTAAAATAGCGAAAGTTAGAATTTTGAAAAGTTTGATCGGGAGTGGACTTCTTGATATCAGAGTAGGATTCTGATTCCGGAAGTTGGAGCAAGTCCATAATGTCAAATGTGAGTTGCATGCAAAATTTGAGGTCAATCAGACATGATTTGATAGGTTTCAACATCGGTTGTGGAAGTTTGAAGTTTCAAGTTCATCAATTTCGAATTGAGGTGTGATTCTCCGTTTTGATGTTTTTATGTGTGTTTTGAGGCCTTAAGTAGGTCCATGTTATGATATGAGACTTGTTGGTATGTTCGAACAGGGTCCCGAGGGGCTTGGGTGAGTTTCAGATAGGTTTGGGTTGTATTGCGCTCGTTTTTTATGTTTCGACGTCGTTTATCAAGCATAAATGGTACTACATTAAGTAAATTAGCTCTGATTTCTATTTTTATTGAAGCATTAGATCCGTATTGTAACTACAGAGCCATAGCAAAAAGAATCGTCGAATTTGGACATCGTATGAGGATTTTGTGGTCATTTTGCTAAGAATTGAGTTGCTAGATTTTTCAAATTAATTACAAAATTGCTACTGAATTCTTATTTAAAAATCTGCACTATTTTGAAATATTAAAGGCCAAATACATATCCAGGCCCTTAAAGTTTTCACTATTTTTCATTTTGACACTTTAACTAGGGCTTGTTCCTATTGGACCCTCCAACTTTATTTAAAATGTACCAATTAAACAAAATTTCTTAGGCCAAGATAAAAATCAGGCACGTGTTTGTAAGGCTTTCCACCTGTAAAAGCCATGAAATAAAATTCTGACACTTGCTTTTTAACTCCACATATTTTAAATTTGCATTAAAACAAAAAATTATCTATTTTAGCGAAAAAGTCCTCATTTCCTTATTCCTTTCCTGTTATCTCAAATTTGAGAAGTGTGAGTAAGAGTCCCGCAACGGAGGTGAAAAGGTTTCGTCCACTTATTTCTCCCTTATACTCCATAGTCACCATTTTCTTATGGTAAAAGATCTTATTTCAGTTTGATTCTAAAAGTTACAACAACGAGAAATCTTCAAAGAAGAAGACACAGTTTCATTTTGATTCTAAAAATTATGCTCTCAACTTTGATAAAGGAGATGACTATGGAAATGACAAATTTTTGTAAATTTCTCATCTCAATTTGCTGGTCCTTTTAGGAGAAAATGAGATAATGAGAAGAAGATATAGGGAATGTTTGAATTGCTTGATTTTGAAGTGAAGAGTCGATATTGATTTTGGGTAGGTGAATTATGTGTTTTTCTTACTGGGTTTCTTTATATTTTCTTGAATTTGGTTTGTCTCTGAATCCTTAACCCAACTAGGTTGATGTCTATTTGCTTTTGAAAATTGCTTGCTTGATGTGTCAAATCTAATTGCAAGAAGAAACAGAGAACCGATTAAGGGGTCAAATTTGAAATCCTCAAATTTTAATGTTTATGTTACTAAAAATATATGATCTTTGAAATATCGGGGTTGTACTTTTATAGTTATGGTTAGTAATGGAATGAATATTAGGAAACCGGGAGGTAAAATTAGGAAGAAGAAAATATAGTGGGAGATGGTAATGATGGCAGAGAAAATGAAGGAGAAAGTAAAGAAAGAAAAGTTGTTTGAAAATAAGGGAAAAAGTATTATTCGGATCAGTTCACGCGCCTAAGGAAAGTGTGGAACACCTCTTTTGCCATGTCAGCTAATTGTGTTTAATTGGGAACCTTTACATTGTATTGAAGTGTCTAATAGGAACAAAATCTAGTTAAAGTGCTAAAATAAAAAATTGGGACAAGTTTAGGGGTCTGCCTATGTATTCGGCCAATATTAAAACCAATATATCTCCTTTAATACAAGGTCAAATGGAGTGATTCAAGAGCCTAACTTGACTAAAATTTCACAAGAAATTCATTGGATGCATCAAATGTAAGTTTGGGAATTATTTGGCATAAGAATCGAGGCAGAATAGATGGAAGAAAAATATATATAATAAGGGTTTGTTTATTTTGTCATTTTGAGTTTGGGAGCTCGCATTTGGGCGATTTTGGAGGCGCTTTTCACCATATGTATTGGGGTAAGTGTTCTCTACTCGGGTTTGGTTATATTTCATGAATCCATCATTATTTTCGGCCTTTGTTTGATAAAGTGAAATTTGGGGATTTTTGCCTAAAGATTCATAAAGTGAATTTTTAAGTTTTGAACATCGATTCAGAGTTGGAATTGGATGAAACCAGTATGGTTGAACTCATAATTGAATGGGTTGTCAGATTTTGTAAGTTTTATCGTGTTTCGAGATGCGGGCACAGGTTGGCTTCTTGGCCAATTTTGCGGTTTTGACTAAAGATTTGACCTTTTTCAATTGGGATTGGTTGCTTTAGCATTGTTTGATGTATTTGAGTTGTTTTTGATTAGGTTCGAGCCGTTCGGAGGTTGGAACACGGGGGATGGCATTATTGAAGCATCGCTTGGCTTGCTTGGTATTGGAATTGGCTTGCTTGAGGTAAGTAATGATTGTAAATCTTGTCTGAGGGTATGAAACCTCGGATTTCACATTGCTTTACTATTTTGAGGTGACACACATGCTAGGTGATGGGCGTGCATCGTTAGGGATTGTGACTTGGTCCATCCTGTAATAATTATAAAGTTGTGTATTTGACTTAAATTATATGGTACTTATGTGTTTTAGAAAGAATTTCCTATAAATTGGGTTGAATGCCATATTTGGGCCTTGTGCTAGAGCTGTTTAGACCCTTAGGGATTTTTCCTTATTATCCTCTCACTGTTTTTGATTTAAGATCTATACTCAGTCATACTGTGTTTACTGATTTCATAACTGAGTCTTTATTACTCCGTTTTGATGCATAAAATGATATTTTTGGGCTGAACACCCTATTTTACTGATAGCCCAAGTGTCTTGAGAGGTTTCTAATTGAGTGAGGCCGAGGGCCTGTGTTGTGAGGATATTATGGGATCGGGCTGCACGCCGCATCATGTTATTGATTCATGATTTTTGTGAGGCCACATGCATTATTTATTTATGCCACGAGGTGGCTTGTCATAAGGCCGAGGGCCTGATTGATTTATGCCATGAGGTGGCTTGTTATAGTGCTTGGGCTGTAGGGGCCCCATGTGAGTGCGAGTACCCTGAGAGAGTGATATGATGTTTTGCCCGAGGGGTTGTTATTGATTTATATTGTGCCCGAGGGGCTGTTTACCAGCGATTGTAAGGTAATGCCTGAGGGGCTGTATATGTGTGACTGTGAGGTTTGCCCGATGGGCTGTTTATGATTCATGTTTGCCCGAGGGAGCTGTTCACGAGTGATGTTCGCGGAGGGGTTATTCTTGATTTACGTTGTCCGAGGGGCTGTATACGAGTGACTTTTGCTTGAGGGGCTATTTATGTTTTCATCATTTTTACTCACTGTTTCATCACATCGTTGAAAGATGTTTTAAATGGTTTTACTAAGCTAGATTTAAATGAGCTAAGTTGATTTAAAACCCTGATTTTAAAAGCCTGCTGTATTTTACTGAGATTTCATGATATGAACTATATATGTTTTATTGCTCGTCACTACTGCTCAGTCTCAATTTACTTTTATTACTTACTGAGTTGGCGTACTCACATTACTCCCTGCACTTTATGTGCAGATCCAGGTATTTCTAAACCCGGTAACGGGTGTTGATTACTCAGTGGCAGGTCCATCAGAGTTAATAAGGTAGCTACCTGGCGATCGCAACCCTTCTTTTCTTCATCCCTATCCTCCTTTAGTTGTATTCAGTTATTTTCAGGCTAAGTTAGTCTTGATGTTGTCAGACGGTTATAGTAGATGCTCCTGACTAGTGACACCTCGATGTCGGGCTTTCTTTCTACACTGTTGTTTTGATTTAAACTCCTTATGCAGGTTTATTGTTAAATAGCTTTGGTTTTGTCTTAAAATGAACATATTGATTGGTTTTGGTAATGTGTCAGCTTGCCTAGTACCACGTTAGGCGCCGTCATGACAGGGTTAGTTTTGGGTCATGACAAAATATTAAATAAATAATTAATTTTCCTACCGATTTGGTCGTACTTTATATAATTAGTTGTTATTTTATTCAAATGTTCCGACCAAATCGGTTGGAGCATAAAAATTTTTCAAAAATAATTAATTAAATATTCCGACCACTTTAGTCGCAACACTAGGAATTTTCAGCTACAATTTCCGACCAAAGTAGTTGGAAATCAGTCACGAATTTTAGTAATATACAACAACATTCTGATGTATTTTAAGCTACACCTCCTGCGAAATCAAACAATCAATATACTACAACCATTATCATAAATGCTCAATCAATTGAGCCGAAAACATAAGTATCAAACTAGTTTAAACACAACAAAATCATTTAAGAAGTGTAAATTCCATTAAACCACATCAAAATCTAAAGTTTTCAACCAAAATGACATGAAACCAAGTCTATAACGAACAAAGTTGAAATCAATCAAGTCTAAATGTCATATTACACATTCTAAATTACTATTGACCCTCATCGGTTTCAGTCTCCTCATTGTTATATTCTTCCATTGTACGTTAATTTCATATTTTTCCATGAATATCCGCATCATACTTATTGTTTCTTGAGTATTATTCTATTGTTGTGACAATTCATTGATTTGCGTCCGCATAGTCTCAATTTCTTCGGGTGAAGTAGAAGCACCACTAAATAATGCGCCGGAACGATCGGACGACGGCTGCACCCTAATTTTATAGATTCTACCTTTATTTATTTTCATGATAAATTTAAAAAATACAACTTGTGCAAAATAATATTAAAATGAGTTTTACTAAAAAAAATTATACCTTTATTACTCCACCGACTGCCTGTGTCCTTATCGAAGTCATATCTTCGGACGTCGGTTGAGAATCGGGCTGAGTTTCTTGACATTCTCCATTCTTCTTTGATACCTTTCCTGAAATATGGATGATAAACATTATATAAACGAATTAATTGTAACCAAGAATATATGTAGTGTTGCATTTAGAATCTTACATATGTATTTGATGCACACAGGTCGACTCATCCTTCTCCTGTAGCATGAGACACATTTCCCCATGTGACTTTTCTTGTCCAAATTAAAAATATGAGTTTAATACTTGAATCTCATATAAGTAAAGCTAAGTAAAATTTTATAAATAAATTATCAATCTCAATCGATCATCGACAAAACTAATTGAACCTCCATTGTGCAATGAGCCACCCATACTGGAGGCTCTGTTTGCATTCCCTTTTTCACCCATCCGCTTCCATTCATCGGTGTTCCACTTCTCTAATAGTTGAAGCCATACATCTTGATGCAAGCATTCCGGCTTGCTGCCACCTTTTCGAGAAATAAAATGAGTATCTTTAATCCTTTTCTAATGTACTAACTCGATCGGTCGTTTTGTATATTTGCTTCTCGTTTCCTCTTTTGATGCTTCACACATGTGCATTTGTGGGTTTCTGACTTGCGGGGTTGGTTAGTTTTGTTTTGGGAAGATTTTAGTTTGATTTGAACACTTTAATTCTTGGCTTCGAAGAATAAGGTTATTATGTTGAGCAATGTTTCATTTTTGTGAAAATGACCCCGGAAGGGTGTTCTGATGGCTCCGACGGTTTCATATCATGATTTTGGACTTGGGCATATGCCCAAAATCAAAATTGAACGTTCTTAGGTTGATTTGTGTTGTTTTGCCGAAAATGGCAATTTGAGGTTTAGTAGTTTGACCGTAGGATAACATTTGGCTATGGGGTTCAGAATTTGGTTTTGGGACATGGAATAGGTCTTGATACTATTTAGAACTTGTCTTCAAAATTTGGTATCATTTGGAGTTGATTCTATAGTATTCGAATGCTCGGTTGCAATTCTAGAAGTTCTCAAAGTTTACATTGAAATTCATGCGTTTTAATGTTCGATTCGTATTTCTAGATGTTATTTTTGTATTTTGATCATGCGAGCGATTTTGTACTTTATTTTTATACTTGTGCGGATATTTGGTTTGGAGCTCCAAAGGTTCGAATGAATTTCGAACGTGTTTCAAAAGGATTGGGATTGCAAATGGGATCTTCTGGTGTGTTGGTGCTATGATGTCGAAATTGCGAGCCCCAACCTCGCAATTGCGAACATGGCAGGAGAGGGTCAAGTATCGCAGTTACGATGCCTTACTCGCAATTGGGAAGTATGGGCTTAGGTAGCATAGTTCGAATTTGTGAAGTTTTTATCGCATTTGTGAGGAGGACAAACTTCACATTTGCGAAATCTGTGCTGTTATTGTGACATTTCCTCAATATGTCAGCGTCTGCAATTGCGAGTCATTCTTTGGAATTGTGAACTTAGTGCCGCAAATGGGACACCTGCAATTAATTAAAAGGGCTGGAAGTCAAGATTTTATCTCATTTTCTCACGTCTTAGAATCCTCGACTCGGTAGGAGGCGATTTGGAGAGGGGATTTTCATCTACAAACATTGGGATAATTGATTCTAATCAATTTCAACTATATTTCATGATTTTATCTTAGATTTAACATTAAATATATGAGAATCAAATAGGAAAATTGGGAGATTTTGGGATGTTTTTGAAAATGAAGATTTGAGTTTTGAGAGTTGATTTGAACTTGAATTTTGAAACAAAATACATATATGGACTTGTGGGGTTATGGGTAGTCGAAATCTACTCTTGAACTTGGATTTTGATCTGACAAGCCCGAGGTTGACTTTTGTTGACTTTTTGAGAAATGTGTAAAGATCATAGCATTATCTATTGTAATTGGTTTCTCTTACATTGTTTGATTTATGAAGTCATCTTTGGTTAGGTTTGCGCTATGTAGACGCAAATTTAAGTGAAAAAGCTATTTTCAAGGGTTGATTTTGCCTATTTTTGAGAAACTTTCTTCGTTGAGTATTCCTCATTCATCTTGTTGTTATTGAGACTATTGTAACATTGTGCTTGAGCCATGTTCTATTTGTTGTGGAAACATTAGTATTGTTGACTTTTTGGCAAGTTGTGGCATATAGGAACTTGTGGTGTGCATTGTAATTATGTTGTGACATTGATACATATTCGGTTATATAAGTCTAGGGGTTGATATGCATGCAGTGAGATATGGTGAGTTTTATACGCGTGTTGCTAGTAGGAAAACTACTTGAAGACACACGGTGAGATTAGGTGGGCTAAACTACGTGAAGCTATTTCAAAAAAAAAAAAGATTTTAAAACTAAACGTAAGGCTCACGCAGTGATATAATAAAAGATTGTGATTAAAATTGTGAAATCTGGACATGAGAGGATACCCAGTTGTGATTTTTTGTTATGCATTCTATGTTAAAAATGCTTGTTGGTTGAATAGTTTTTGTTGTTTCTTCCGCCTTACTTGAAATTACCCGCATTTTTTTCATTGTTGTTTCATCATGTGTTTACTCTTTATTTCCTTTACCGCTCAAACTTCCATTGTTAGCTTACATTAAAGAATTGTTTTATTGTCATTTACTTCTTCGTCCATGTGAACCTAGCAAGTGTTGCAACCATGGTTTTTGTATCCAGAATTTCTTATTGATTTGCATCTTGGTCTATGAATCCTTTCCCAGAAAAAATTCTTTGTAGATTAGTAGTGTTATTGATGTAGAGCAGCTCCTTCATATCTAGCCAGAATATCCCATGCAAATGAATGAACTACCCTCCCTCGACCATATGAATCTAGGCAATGACATACCTGTGGTCTCTTGTGCCCGGAATTGCAGCTTAATCCTTGACCCCAAGTGTGACTCCTCCTCAAGATGTCCTTTGCATATCAGTAGTGTTGTTGGTATGCATCAACTACATTTTTTCCCGCTTGTACATCTTGTATATTCCATTGGATAGCCCTGCCTTATGCATAAAAATCTGGGCATTGACTATGTCCTATGTCTTCTTGAATCCTTGATAGCTTATATCTTGTAAACAATTGCTGAGTTAATTACATTCATGGTTAACAAGGAACCATACACTTTGAAATTTTCATGACAAAATTCCTTTAGAAGCACATAATAACTCGGTGTCTTGATGGAAATCTCCATTGTCATGCTTGTGCCTGCCCCTGAATCCCTCCTATTAGAATGAGTACATAGTACTAATACCACTAGATGAAAATTGTTCAAATGATCAGGCATGGCCACAATAGCATTCCCTACAAAAAAGAAAACTAGGTTAGTAGAAGAAATAATCACCATACTCTCTTCCATATGGACTTGAGCATGATGATCAAGTGTGTTCCCAGCCTTACATCTGCTCTTGCTACTGCCTATCTCCTCTCCTCTTAACTTCTTGTAACCTTAACTCTTAAATATGGGCATTGTAATTTATCACTATTCATAATTTTCCTCCCCTTCACATCTAAATCTCAGAAAGAGTGACATTCTATTGGTCTTGTATATATGATCTGCTAGTTGGTTGCCTTCTTTAAGTGAGTGTGAGAGCTTCAAATTGCACCTTTCCATTAGTTCCTTTATCTTCTCCTCTTCTTCTGCAATTGTCCATGGTATAGACCATACCCCTTGTAACACATTCTTGATCATCATCGTGTCTGTATGCATTTCGATGAGTATGTAGTCATTGTCCACACAATACTTTAAAGCTTTTAAAATGGCCCTCACTTCAACTTATGTATTTGTTCCTTCTTGGATATATTTTCCACATGCATAGACAATATTCCCTTCCTCATTTCTCAGAACATAGCCAAATGAACTCATCCCTGGGTTGCCTCTCGTTGCACCATTTGTATTAAATTTTATCCAGTCTTGCTTATGAAGTTCCCATAGTACTTTAGTATATTTTAACTTAGGAGTATAATGTTCCATCATGCTTACTAAATCTGGCCATTTGTGTGGGATATTCTGCATGCTTGGTTTCCTATATTTCACCGGTGATTGAAGAATTGTTGAGATCTG